TCGCTGGCGATCATCAAAATTCTATCATTTGATTGGCTGTTGATCACATGATGTGCCTCCGCTTTAGACGACCCCTTGATATGGTAACAATGATCTTGTAGGAATGGTTTCACAAAACTTTATATTTCTGTACTTCCTGATATGGTAACAATGAATGAAATATAGCCTTGTCTTTAAAGTTGTATCAAATTTCTAGTAGTCCTTGTTTTATTTAAAATTCTTTTGTAGGATTCTGTCCATTCAAAAATTTTAGATACCTGTTTTGATAATTTATCCGATCGGCATCAGACTAACTTGCAAGTTTAAATAATTTTGCCTAAACTAGCTTATTATGTAATATAAAAATATTGCTCTACCAAATGAGACCTTTGATTTAATGTCTTCACGTTAATTAGATCTCTGAACTATCTAACGCTAACACATCCATTGTATTTGGGAAAACCATTCAAAAAAAGGTTTATGCACTTAAATTAAAAAAGTAGGGTTGAAAAGCCAAATTAATAATTAAATTGTAAAATTTTTTGAAAAATAAATTATTATACTGTATATATCATATATGGGTTAGATGTTATATTTACGCTATTCATTGAATGCTTGTTCATTGAATGCTTGTTAGCGTATGACCAGATATTACGTATCAAGTTACTCTGCTTATCTGAGTAATAATTTATTATATAATAACAATTTCTATCCAGGCACAATCATTATTGTCAAATAAAGCTCTTTCTTTAACTTATTGAACCAATAAAAAACTCATTTATCATATTCACGACCTATAACAAAAGCTTCCTACACTTGCTATTGTCGACATAGAAGGAAATGTGAAACGGTAATTTTTTAAATTAACTGAATTAATTGTCTATCGAATCACGTGGAAGCCGCCAAACGTCAATCGTGATGCTTGTTTTCTGTAACACTCGGTTCGCTTGTAATTACGCGGCCACACTTGTTATACATATTTGGCCAGAAATCTCCTTGTTTTTCAAGTCTCGTTTTATAAAGCTGCCGGTACGTACGCATGTACGTTACGTATAATTTCTTAATTCTGTTTGGTATTCGTAGTAACAATAATGGATGGCATTATTAGCATTATTGGAACTATTATTTCATTAGGTCAAGAGATCAATACCCGTTTTGAGAAGCGTGGAGAAGCCATTGGAGAACTCAAGAAATTGGAAAGAATTCTAGTACAGCTTAAGAGTGTTTTGGAAAAAATTAATAAGGAACCTGATAAAGCTAATAAAGCTGACAAGGATGAAGTTGAAAATGTTTATATAATTGGCATCAAAGATACCCTTGTGAAAGCCCAAGACACTTATTTGAAATGCGCAAAAGATCTTGGCATAAATGAAGATACCGGTAAAAGCAAGTTTAAATTTATAAAGCAGGGTATAGGAATACTTAAATCACCCTCTATCTTGGAAAACATCCAAGCCATAATTAAAGAGATTGAGGTGGAACTTAGCCTTACCGAGAAGTTCTTGAGTATTGTACAACACACTCAAACTTTAACAACAACAGAAACCACTACATCCACTAGCTCTCTAGGATCAGAACTGAAAGGTGCTTTGGCAAATACGATTGAAGAAATTGTGAAAAGACTTCAAAATGACTGTCAGCAACTTAAGGAGAGGCTTGATCGCTGTACCCTTCCTGTTGACTCTTCTTTCCTTGATGTCCTTGGAAGAGACAATCCGGAAGCAATTGCATTCTGGAAACAACGCTTCAGATCTGCTGAACTCAGTATAGCATCTATTATTCCCTACGAGGTAAGTTAACCATTAATTAGGGGTTAATTTGATAAAAGTCGATTATTATTGGTGTAAAGCATTTTTAATATATGAATATAGAATATATATGTCTCCTGGGCTCGGTTTGTCCATGAAATCGAAACAGCCTTTCAGTTAAAGAATATCCCGACTGCCATCATGACATTCAATGAAAGCGATGAAATACGAAAAAATGGTAGCAGATATCTTATTAAATCAAATGGAACGCTTGATTTGAAAAACACTAGACCACTTTGGCTTCCAGCTCTACGCGAAGCACTGGATCCATTGCACAAAGGTTACGTTAAACCACATGACTATTTGTCTTTCCTTGGTGAAGAACAATTATCTAGCAAGTTAAGACAGGTTGTTCTCAATAGTTGTGGGTACGGATTTTTTGTAGAATGCCGGAAAACATCAAGTGACATCCCGCTCCCAACTGAATTAGAATGTCCTGCTCATAGCGTTGGTTGGATGTCTGCCTGCCAAATCGTTTCAGTACCATCATTGGATGAACTTGGAATATTCTTACAAAATGAATCAAATCTAGACAGTATCATTAAACACATCATCGAATATCCTGACATACGGGTATACGTTCGCTACCTTCAAACTGGACAAATTGAGAAAAAACTTCTCACGGATATACGAATACTCGGTGGACTCCGTATTGGAATTTCAATATCTATCAGATACACATTAGAAAATAATTCAAAGGTTTGGAGTAGTGACTTTTCGGTTATAGAACTTAAAGCTTGTTCTGGTGGGCGTTATATTGTAACAGCTAGATCAGATGCGAAAACCATCGTATTTGTGACAATGCCGCCAGTTGGCTTTGGTCATTTTGCAATACAGACCGATCAACATGAAGATTTAAAAGACTTACCAGAACTTGAATATAGCCTTTTGGGACCTTCAACAGTATTTAGACAAAAACCTAAAGATGGAGAGAAAATTCAGGTGAGAAATTTTGTTTAATACACTTAATATAGTATTAAAGTAACTATGTTTGAATAACTGCTGCAGAATGTAATATACTCATATTCAAGCCGTGTTCATAATGTATACAGGTCAATGTAGATGGGTTATGGCATGATGTTAAAGTTACCAAAGTCGACGATAAAGATGTGGAATATGTGAATTGGTCTTCGGCTGACGTTATTCCTGTAGAAGATACCGAAAACATTGATGATTTGGAGGACGTGATTGGTTTTTCAGAGCAAAACTTTACAGAACTTGAAAGAGGTGAAAAAAGAAGCTGGTGTCCATGGAAAGACGACAACGATGAAGGTGTAACAAAGTGGGACATTAGACCTTATCGCTGCCTCCACGTTGGTGATCTTGTAGAAGCGCCTGTGGTATATCCAGATTATAAGTATCGTTACCATAGTCTCGAGGACTCGCAATTATATCTTCCAGCTCGTATCATTGAAGTTGAGGGAGATCAATATCTAGTCGAGTTCAGCCCCGCGTTCATTGCTTACAAATGGTGGCCTGGCCGTTCTTCAAATCCGGACAAATTTCCGCGCGAACCGGAAGCCAAAGAGACTGTCAAAAATCCATTTTTCAATAAAACACAAGTCTGGGTGAACATGGATCGGGTTCGCCCATGTGGAGCTGACCCGCATCCTGTTTTGAGTATATCGTCGATGAGACCACACAGCTGGTCGGTATTTCAAGGAATCCAATTTACGGACCTGCAACAACTTAGCGAAAAGATTTTGTGGAGGCAATAATAAATAGCACTTCACCAAAATGTTACATTTGCATTATATAAAATTATTACTATTATTTGTTATTTATTTATTTATTTATTTCTAAAAATGAAATAAGTTTTATTTTTTGTTGTAAACTTAACAAATAATTAGTATAATATAATGATTATAATCATAAAGGCATGGCTGTTCATTTACCGAAGGATTGACTTTATTTCTTATAAATATTGAAAGGTGGATAGAATAGTAAGGCTTTCTCCAAATATACATAAATATAAACAATACACTTTCTGTATAAGGGAAGTGACATACACCGTAATATGTTGAGGGGTTTCAAGGATCTTATATTCATATTAATATGTATTTAAAAAAATCATACCAAGGAAGAAGAGAAAGTATAATAAGATTACGTAATACCCGTGACTTTATTAATATTGAATTTCTTAGCAATAATAAAATTACCGTTATTGGACATAAATTTTAACCTATCACAAATCATTGAAAATCACGGAACCATCTGCTCATTTTCTTTGCTCGAGTGTCATTATTCGCCAGCGGCTTTGCACAAAACCTTGTGTTCCTTATAGTGGCTTTTTTGACAATCTATTCCACAATAAACTACCTTTCGACACCTTCCGCAGCGCTTATTATTCTCATTTGCCTTTCCACAATTCGCACAAACAACCAAAGCAAGCAGTTCTTTTGCTTTCTGTAATGTCGCCCTTAAAATCTTTTGCTCACCAATACTAACATGCGCTGCTGCCCATGCGTTACTGCCTTTTTGATATGTGCCAGAAGTAATTTTTGCTTCAAGCTCTTCAATAGAAGCGCTAAACCCAGCCAATAGGTTCTCACATGCTTCGTCTAAAGCTTTTAAAATCTCAGCTTCATTACGAGCACTAATTCTATCTTTAGCTCCGTGCCTTACTGCCAGTGTGGAGATTTCCGAAGACGATAATCTCTGTATTCGTAGATATTGAAGCACATTCAATGGTAATGGATCACTGAGTTTGAGGGGGAAAGTGGAGTTGACTTGTAAACCGATTGATTCAAATAAGGCTACTTTTTGAGAATACAAGGGTGCTTGGGGGTGTGTAGTAAGAACAAGGTCATAAGAATCATGGGGATTGTTGAGAAGGATGAAACCGTAGAGACGTAGGAGTCTGTTATTTGGAACTGGGCCATAGTTGATGAAGACCTTTAATATATAAATTTATAAGGGATAGAGATTAAGAAATATATAATTGAAAGTGTTTCTAAAGTGCATCAAAGATGTAAGGTAATGTGTAACCTGCTCTCCCGCTTTATAGTCTTTTCCTGCCAATATCTGCAATCTATTCAATTGAGGATCATAAATATGACAAAGTTCAACATCAAAGGAATGATTTAGCATGTCAGCGAAAGGGGCAATACATCGAAACTGTTTGTCAGACAGCTGGAAATCCATTCCTCGGCTCCAAATAGTACAAAGGGCCCATATATACTGAGAAGATTCAAGTAAATGAAAATAGTTAAAGTCATTTCGTTATATCGAACAAATAAAGATTGTTTGCAAAAAAAGAAAAAAAGAAAAAAAATGAGACTAAGGAGAAAGAAAAAAACTCACATCATCTTGTGTAAATCTTTCTAAAGGGAATAGATCCGGGTGTTTTGTGATCAAATTGTTGAGGAGTTTAAGGTAATCATCTCTAATTTGCAATTTCAACTTTTGGGTCAGGTGATAAAGCGAAGAGCCAGCACAGATTTCGAGTTCTTCGTCATTAAAGAAAATACTAGCTGTATAACTGGTTGGTAGCAATTCCACGTGTGCTCGCCTCCCATCATACCCCGTTTCACACGATTTGATGAAAAGAAGAAACACTGCTAGTATATCATCCACTGATAAGGGTGGCTCTACGGAGCGTATGACAGTCCCAATGACCGGGTCACTAAATGCCGCATCTACCGTCCAGAGGAATGATCCTGGCACTGTAAGGATTACATCGTGAGACTTAAGGGACCGCAGCGTTTTAACGCCGCGTCCCGTATCGGGGAAGTCTTCTAGTTGTAGCCAACTGAGACCTTCAACCCCACCATTTACAAGCCATTCCTGTAGCTTCATGGTTGGTATAACAGAAATTTGGACAAAACATAGCTACCTTACTTTAAGAAAAATGAGATTAAGCATAATTGTAGAGATATTACTGCAATAATATGAGATACGATAGAATGCCGGCAATACTCAATACTGAATACTGAATAATTTTATTCTATTGGATTGGCCAAAACTTATGAACGAAGTCACGGGGCAGCTCTTTATTAATGAATGTGTTTGAGATTAACTGTTAATAAGTACGTAGGTACGTACGTACGTACCTGTTAAAAACAGGCGGAGATCCCGTGATAACAAATTCTCTTAACGTTAAATGTTCTGGAAATCATGTCAGAATATTATAATAGTTGTGACTGATCCAATAGAATATCTGAGTTTACACTTGAGATTACATGTTGATTAGAATTTCCACCTATTTTTTTATTTATTGGTCAGTTTTGGTATTAGATAAAAACTTGGAGTTGATTTTAAATCAATACATTCTAAGTCATAGAGAAATTTTATAATCCTGACAGCTCATTATCTACCAGCATTGCAATAATAACTCAAAGAATTTTATTGTTTTTATAACTTTCAAATTATTGAGTTGTCAGGATTTTGAATCCAATACATATGCGATCCAAAATCCGGCCCTATAAAATTTTGGATTATGGTCTTTAGACAAATACCGGTGCCGGACTATCTGGAAATAATATTTTGGTTTTAGTTATAAACCCAAATTGAAATTTAATTTCAAAATATATAAAAACAAGGTGATAGTTAACAACATATTAAAACCAGTATATTAAAATACTGTATATACTAAAAACAAAATACTAATTATACAATAATATTTTGAAAAAAATAATCTTATTAGACATGGTAATTATTGTCTTATAGGATTATTTTTAAATAAAATCTTATATAATTTAGGCTATACAAAATTTATGTATTGGTTTTAAATTTTCTAACCCGTTTGCCTAATTTTTTTTATTTATCAAATATTTTATAGAAATTTACTATCTTTACCCATAGGGTATAATACTTAGTATAATTTTATATAGAGCCTTTATATATATTAAGGTTAGAATTAGATTTAGAAATATATATAGTTATATACAAAATTAAATGCTAAACAATTTTACCTAAGATATTTATATATAGTTACTTTAGTAAAATTTTGAGATTTTGAGATATTAAGAATTTTTGAATTTTTTTCTTATATCAGATATTATATCTACCTACTGGATATAAATACAGTCAACCCTCTCTAAATACAATTCGCACAAACCATATAGAAATTTTAAAAAATCTTGCATTTAGGAAGGTATTGTATTTAGGGAGATAAAAATCTATAAGTGTATATATAATAGAAATATTGCAAGATTGTAAATTTAAAACAATTTTATCTAAGATATTTATATATAGTTACTTTAGTAAAATTTGAAATATTAAGAATTTTTGATTTCTTTTCTTATATCAAATATTATATCTAGAGATGTGATCTGAAATCTAGCAATCTGGATATCTGCTTTAAAATCTGATCCTACTGGATATAAATACAGTCAACCCTCTCTAAATACAATTCGCACAAACCATATAGAAATTTTAAAAAAT